CATACTAGAGTTTCAGGTAGAGAAGTTATAAAATACAGAGCCACGTGGAGTTAGCAAGGAGAATCCTAGATGTCCATGGGAGTATGAGATTCCTGGGAGGACAAAAATATTAAGAACTACTAATTTAGTCCAAAGACCCCCGAAAGTAGAAACAATTGATGGATTAAGGACCTATACCTCCTCATTCTGTCATTATCGCCTGTATGGGAATGCAGTTTTGTACTTGATGCTTTCTTCTTAAGTCCTTATTGAGATTTGGTTTCTTTTATATAAGTATTTAGCTTATATTTGACCACATATGCTAACAAGAAAAGAAAACCATCACTAAGAAACTATAAATCAAATCTTCCTTTGAGAATGAACTTTGGATTTCAACCTAGTCTATTTAAACTTTACACATGACTTATTAGTGATGATATTATTTGCATCCAACTTCCTTCTCTTTATCTGCATATCCATGATAGAAGTTCTAAGCAGGGATACAAGACTGGCAGCCTAGGGAAAAAGAAACAAATTTTAAAAATTCTGTGTTTGGTCCCTGAGCTATTCAAGAGTGGCAATGTATTAAAACATTGGTATGTGCACATGGTATCATTTGTTCAGGAGATTTCAGTAACAACCTGTTTTTGAAACTCAGGTGTCTTGAAGTTTAGGGAAAGGCATAAAATAAGAATATGGAATTATACAAGCTTTTTTCTCTCTTTATATCTTTGATAAGTGCATACAATAAACTTTAAGGCTTTTTAGTCCTTTAATGATCCAATTAATTACTATATTTTATTGTTTTAATATTTTCCTATGGTTTCCTTGTTTTGCACATTTTTCACCATTATTTCACATCAGTGTATTTCAAGACCTAAGATTCAGGTACAAGTTATTGAAATTGTTACATTTTAAACAATGCTTTAGAAATATATTGGAATCTGGCATAATATTGTTTATTTTATTAATTTATGTTCACATATTTATTGATATAAATTAGAATTTGTAGTTTATATATACAATTAATATAAACAGCCTATATATCTATATATAATATAAAATGCATTTATAAATATACATATATTGAAAGCATATTTATTTCTAGTACATATAAAAGTTATTTATTTTTAGTCTATATGTATATACATAAAACATTCATTTTCAGTATATGTATAGTCAAATATTTTCTATTGGCATTTGAAATGAAATTTTAGTGTTTCATTCTGTTTTTCTTCTAAAATGATCAGTGTAATTGATTAAATAATCAGCATTCATCTTATTCTGTAGGAAATGAATATTTTCTGCTTTTACCTGATAGGGTCTATTAGCGTAGTTAGGATTTAGAAAATGGAGAAGTTGCAGGAAGTGCCTAGAATGAAAATCTTAACTCTCTGAAGACACCAGAACTCAGAAGCAATGTAGTGACAATTATGTGGCTCTAGCCCAAAGAAAACAGGTTTTAATATATAGATCCTAATCTGCTCTTGTTTTCCTGGTATCCACACAAAACCAAGATAATATTTTTTACTTCACTCATAACCACTCAAAATGTGCTCTTATTCCATACAGAAATTAAAGAACTTTTCTTATTTGATTTTGAGAATTTGAGTTCTCTGGAAATAGTCTGAAAAAAGGAAGGAAAACAAATGTGTTTAAAGTGATGAGTGTAGGTCTAACTTAATGCTAAATTTTGTCATATACAAAAGAAAAATGTTAACATTTCTTTAACATAAATCTATTAACGTGGCACATGTAGAAGGCAATTAATAAATCAGGTTATGCATAGGCTTCATATTGTGTAAAACTCAGGTCATGGGTACTTAGAAAATCTATTAAAAAATAATACCCAGTTACACAAAATTTGTTTGCAATTCTTAGGGAGTGAGGGTCAAGAAGAAACTTTAAATTAAAAATTCTAATTTTTAGGTTATCATTTCTTTTTTATTTATTAGAGAAGTCTTAGGTAAGGACATTTATTACAATTATGTTCTTTTGCAATACTATATGACTTTCCTTCTTAAGTTTTCTTTGTTATAAATCAACATTTATTTGTATGATTATTTTATGCTTTGACTGTAAGCTCTGTGGGAACAGAAATGTCCTTATTCCTTATGATAAACACATGAGTTCCTGGTACATCACACAAATATTGGTTGAAGGAATCAATGCATAGCATGGATTCAACATTGGACATAGAAGTTAGAGAGGATAACATTATGTGTGCTAGAGTTGTCAGGGCAAGTTTCATGGAAAATGAATCACTAGCCCAACTCATATTGAGTACCTATTGTAGGTAAGGCTTTGGGCTGGGCATGGGTGGGATTTGTAGAATTTGTTTTGAAAGATAGAAAGTATTGGTAGTCACAGTGGTAGAGAAGAGGTATCTTTGGTGGGGGCAAAGAGCAAGAATAGTGGTGTGGATTAATAAGTGGATGAAAAAACTAGTTCCCCTGGGGGGGGGGTTTGAATAATTGCAGAAAACATGATGTAGCTATGTTTTGAACCATTTTGATACAGGTATTGTTTTGGGTTTTTTTTTTTTTCATAAGCAGATCTTGTGCTGAGGATTTGTAAGCAAATGAATTCTGAAGGAAGAGTTTTCAGATGAAATGAGTGAGAGAGTAAAGAGAAGGGGAAGAAACAAAGCATAGGTGAAGTCTCAGTGTCAGACTGATCCTGCCAGGAACTTCTCAAGTGTAATACACCTGAGTATGTCCAGACCAAGGTAAGGGAGCCAGATGTTCATGCTCCTGTGTTCAAGCAGGCATTAACTAAGTGCTCTCCTAGGGAATGTAAACTTCCAGACCTTTCCTGTTTTCTCTGAAGGGGCAATGACAAAGTAGTTCTAGTAGCTCAAGTACTATCATTAGAAGAGAGTAGCAGTTGTTTCTGTCCATTAGACACAAATCAAACCAAAGTTAGGCACACAGAAAAGTCAGAGGGATGGGCAGAACACTCGGAAGGGTCTGCTATAGGAGTTACAGCCTGACAATAGAGATAGAGATTTATAACAGTGTTACCAAAACTGGTTGCATGTTAGAAGCATTTGAGAAATTTTGAAAGAAAAATTAATGATTGGGCTCCATCCCAGATGAATTAATTCAGAATTTCTTTATGTAAAGACTGGACATCAACAAAGGATTGATTATGGATTATGGATTCCGAGGTGAGGGTGTGTTAGGATGTGAGTAGCATTTTAGGGAGATAAATGCATAAGGATTTATGGCTAGTCTGAAGAAGATAAAAACTGGTGGAGAAAATGGAATTTTAGCCAGAGGTGATGACTTGAACTGTGCTGGTGGCAAAGCAAATGGAAATCAAAAAACAAATGTGTGAGAGAGATTATGGAAACATCCAGGAGACTTAATAACTGATTGAATGTGAGAGCTTGAGGGGGTGGAGGAGTCAAAGATGGCTTGAAGATGTCCAGGCTGAAAGTCTGGCTTTGAAGCATGTCCTTTGAAGTACTACGATGCTTAGACTAGGTGGAAAATTATATCAGCATAGCCCTTTGACATTTTCAGTGGGAAAAAGGAGGATGCTTATTTTTAATGAGGAAGCTTCTCTCAGGGCCTAGACTATTCTTTTGTCAGAAATTAGAAATTCTATGAACACTTTCGGGGTAAAAGTGACTGTTTAAATCATATGCTTCTTAATGTAACAGAATAAAATTTATTTTATATGGCCTAAGAAATTTATTCCCAAGTAACTGTGAGTTTGTATATTCAGAAAATGGTTTTCATAATTCTGTCATACTGTGCTGGTTTCAATATTCTAGTTGGAAGAGTTTTCATTGCTTATTTCTACTATTAATATTGCTAAATATACAAAATTATAGCCATATATCTTTTTCTCTTAGTCATAAATTATAACCCTTGACATAAGATGTATTCCTAGATATATATTTAGCATTTTATGCTTTTTTAATGTGGTAAAGTGCTTCTAATGTTCATGGAGTAATAAAGACAATAACTTTTACTTTGACACAATAATCATGCAAGTAATGGAAGTTTATATATTTTACTTCATTGTGTAATATTTCTTTGTAGGGGCAAAGCAAAACAATTGTCATATAACTACCAATGTTCTTCATTTAATATAATAGTTTCTCAGCAAATCACAGGAATAATCTAGTATGTTAGTGTCAAAGGACAAAATTATAACAATTTAGTTTGAAGATTTTAACTTTTTTTTTGGTTCTAGAATTGGCAACACTTTATTGCATTAAGTAGAGTACGTGTTCTAACAAGCTGAGCAGAAAAGGTTGAATTTATAGAATGGCTGAAACAAAGCAGAAGCAAAGAACAAAAAATAGATTGGTCATTTCTGACTTAATAGACAATAGAGGTCATTTCTGTTTGGAGGCCTGATGAAAGTCCTCAGGTCCTGGAGCAATGTGTGCTGATAGTGGTGGCAGTGGTAGTGATGGAGGTGGCTGGGGTAGGGGAAGGGAAGTGATCTCAAGAGTTTGTATCTTCAGGCCCTGTAGTGGTGAGCAGCAGCAGACAGTAGAGTATACACTTGCAGGTGGGGGGCAGTGGGCCTTGGTTGCTCAGGTCTTGAAAGAGGCACCTATTTCTGTGCTGGGCCACCTGACCCCTATAGTTCAGGGCACTGCATGGATGGGGTCACAATTGCACAGCCAGCTATAGTTAGGTTCACAAAGTTACAAACTTTTGTTTGAGTGTGGGAGAATATTTGTGGAGCCCCAGTGATGGAGATATGTAGAGTTGTCTGTTGTCTGTTTCTTAGGACATTGTAGACTCTTAATAGTAGCTCTGTTCTTAAGATTGCACTGTGCTATAGCAGTTTCTTTTCTTTTCTTTTTTTTAAATTTCTTATATATATATTACAATAGTGGAGCGCATTACATTCATAATTATCCATTCACAGCACAATTTTTCGTAACTCTGTATATAAAGTATGTTCACACCAAATTATGCCATTATACATGAGCTCTCTTTTTTTTGTATTACAATTCTCAATACACCTTTATACCACAATTTATCATATCTCTGTTTTTTTTTTTTTTCCTAGGGAAAACACTTTATTGCGGTATTTTGAAGTTCTTAGCATCTTTGCAGCATGCAGGACTCAAAGGTTGACTAATGGAAGCAGCAGAACACAGGTCTTTGAAGTCTGACCAACTTCACTTCAGTATCTATTGACAGTCCCACAGAACTTCAAACTTACACACAGAAGGACTGCGGGCCTCCCTCACTTAGTCACTGAATTCTACAAACTTCTCCGAACAGAACAAGAGTCCAGGCAGTCTAGGGGGGTGCTGTACTGCTTCTTGGGTTTTTATTACAGCCAGAGTTTATTTTATTGAAGAAATGCTGAGTTAGACTTAGAGATGGCTGTTTCCTCTTTCAGACAGGGCAAGAGAGCCTGAGAAAGGTCACATGGCCCGCCCTGAACAGACCAGCCTCGCCCTCAGGCCTCCGTCCCTGCTGCCCTCTGCAAGGCTTCCACTCTGCAGCACTGGTAGTTGCCCACATTGCAGGGCACATGGTCCTCAGGCTGCGAGGGGCTGCTCCCTAAGGCTGTGGCATGTCCACACAGAAGCTAAGCACAGAGCAGGTTCCAGGGGCACCCTGTGCACAGGACATGGAGATGGCCCAGAGAGCCCGGCCCGCCTCTCCACGGCATGCTGCAGGAGGGCAGCAAGGCACACTCTGGACAAGGTCTTGTAGTGCGTGCTCAGGTCAGCACGGTGCTGCTCGAACCTCAACAGCAGGAGAGTGGCCCCCGGGCCTCTGCACCTCGCACACCAGTGGCTCTGGGCGTAAACTCAGGCTGTAGCTTGCAAAAGAGATGAGGGTCCAGGAGTGGGCTTTGCGTCCACGTGAGGATGGCTGTAAGAGGGCCAGACGCTGGGCATTGTGGGAATGCAGACAGGTGAAAGGGACAAGAGCATTTGGTTTTAAATTTGTAATTCACCACTCAAAAAGGAAAAATGGAAAAATGCCTTTTTAAATAAAAAATATTAAAAGTACAGAACTTCTCAGGAAGTTGAAATAGCATTGTCAGAAAGACAACAGTCTGATTGCTGCAGTCACGCCAACACACGCCACCACTGCAGACTGCAACGGGGCCTTAAATATAAAATGGGTCTCAGATAAACATCCTGAGAGAACAAATATCCAAACCAGGGAGACAGCACAAGCCAAGGAGGAACAGCGCTGGGTCCCTGGGTGAGCTGCATCCTGGCACTGGCCGTCTGACTTGACATATCCACATCCTCCCAGGACAGACAGGGCTCTGTACTGTGATCACAATGTGATGGGGTGCGAGTGGTAACTGCTGGTGTTCACCTTGAACCTGCATCAGACAGCAATCTCCTAAAGCAGCAGCTACAGCAAGCGTGCTGACCCCTGCGGCAGCTGTCCTCTGGGGGAGCAGCCCCACGGAGCCTGCCCCAGACATCGTGGCTCTGAGCAGGAGGATGCATTCCAGCTTTGGGATGGCAAGGACAGTGGCTGAGACTGGCAGCCAAGCACAGAGCACCACCCGGTGTGCCCTGCAGGATGTGGGCTGGCTCCAGACCTGCTCCACCTTCAGCTGTGTTTTCCACCCGTGAGCACTGGCCGTGCATACTCCACAAAGTCATCGATGAGGACAGGCCATGCTCCTTCTTCATCGTAGTTAGACATATCATCTGCAATCATGTTTCCAAAATCTAGCAGAAGGTTCCAAGTGTCCCGTGGAATTGATCTTTTGTGATGTTCCAGCAGAAATGTGTTCCAAAGATCTAAAAATTTAAACCTTCCCGATAACACTAAGTTCCAATATGCAACAGCCATTTCTAAATCTAGGGGACTCGCAGGGTAATGCTAAGATGATTATCTCGTCCTGCTCATAAGCCTACATCCTCACCACTTAGGAAGAACCCTAAGTGAGGTCTATATTCGACTCATCTTAATGATGACAAGCTCTCCCATTGGGAAATGGAGCTGAACCTAGGCCCTTTTGCCCAGGGTTCTTAGCAAAGGTGAAGGTAAACTGGTAGAAATCCTTGAACTTCACGGAGTCCTGCAGCTCTTGCTCTAGGCTGGGCAGAAGGGTTCTGAGCTTCTCGGTGCTGTCACACCCCAGCTCGGTCATGCCGTCCATGAACTCCTTCCTGCTGAATTCGCACTGAGTGGCAGCCCTGAACTTCCATGCTATGACCAGAACACTGATGCTGGTGGGGTCCAGCCTTAGATCGTCACAGAATTGCTGAATCCCATCAATCCCGATTCTGTCTCCATCTTGCGGGTCTGTAGTACCTTGGGAGCTGAGGCAGGAGGATTCCAAGTTTGAGACCAGCCTCAGCAACTTAGCCAAACCGTGCTCGGAGGCGCCGCAGCCCAGCCGGCCCTTTGCGCAGGCGCGTGCTGTCCCGCCCCCGCCGGCCCTCTCTCTCTGTTTGTATATAAGGTATGTTGACACCAAATTCACATTTCTGGCAGTTTTTTGGAGACAATGTGAGTTCCTTCTCTGAAGCAAAACTTCTGTGAAGACTCAACTCCTTCCCTCATTGGGCTCTAGGGGATCCTATGGGCTCTTATGATGACTGCAGAACTCTCCTGGAGCTTGGATTGTCAGCATTCAAGGTGATGAGTTCTTCTGGGACTCTCCTGTTTACCCTTTCCCTCACAACTGGTAATTTCCTTGACTGGGAAGCTGGGGTTGCAGCTGCCCTGTGCTTTGTTTCTTTTTTCATGCTGACATTCCAAGTATCTATATCCTATTAGGGTTTCATCTCTCCCCCACTATTCTGGTGCTCTCCCTCAACAGCTCACCTTGAAATTCAGCTATTCATTTGTTGTTATTTGTGAAGAAGGTGAGTGTTGAGCACTTCTGTCTGGCTACCTTATAATAGGTGATCCACTTCTATTTCATTTATTGAATTCTTTAATTTTAGGATTTCTCTTTAGTTCTTGTTTATTTATAATCTTTATCTCTGCTGAATTTTTCATGCAGATTATGGATTGTTTTCTTAATTTCATTGAATTGTGTATTTGTATTCTCTCCCACCTTTTTGAGTTTCCTTAAAATCATTATTTTGAATTCTCTTCCAGGAAATTTGTCAATTTGCTTTTCTTTTGGGTCTGTTGCTAGACTATGCTCTTTTGAATGTGGCATGTTACCTTGTTTTTCATGTTTCTTGTGTCCTTATGTTGATATTTGTAATAACTGATATGGTAGATGAGTTGCCTAAACCAATTTCAAAGGGTGGTTTCTATTCACCCATGCTAGGTCCTGAAAAGTAATCAATAGCCCTGCCCACCAACCCTAAACCCTACCCATCCGTCTTTGGTTGCTGGAAAGTAGCCAGACAGCCTGTTCTGAGTGAATCAGCCCACCAAGGCCCCTGGGATGCAGACAGACAGCCCTATCTACACACAAGTAAAAGACTTGCCCTGGAGATCTGTGCAAGGATATTGACTGGATAGGTACATTGGCTTTGGTTCCATCTGGGTACAGTAGTTATATGTCTGTGTAGCTGTTTCTGCTATAATCACTGTTGGCAATTTCTGCAGGTGTCTCAATGGCCTAGGCTGCATGGATTTGTGAGATTGCTCCAGCTGCTGAGATGGGTTTGCTGGTGTCTTTAGATATGATGTGTATGGCTGCAGGTGTGGGGAACCTGTCTGTTTCCATAGTTCATGTGGGGAAGGACCCATGCAGATGAGATGCTGCTGGCACAGTAGTAGATGTGGGGAAACTCAAATTTCTGAGGGTTGTCTGTGGGTGAGACCACTCTAATGTACCCAGGTAGGCTTGATATATTGTGCCTGGCAGTAAGGATTATATGCCTATTACTGTTTGAGGTCTGCATAGGTGCCTCAGTGGTCCAAACTACACAGGCTGGTATGCTTAGTTGCTTCCTACGTTTACAAGAAGGACTGGAAAGGGCAACCTGTTTTCTTGGGTCTTGGCTGGCAGACGTTAGGACAGGTTGTCTGCTTGCTTCTCAGGGCCACAGGAGAGTGGGCAGGGGTTCCCAACTGTTTCCTAGAAATCTTAGAGGCCTCAACTGCTCAAGGTGGGTTTCTCAGCTTCTTCCCAGGGCCAGGTATATGTGGATAGGGCTGTCTGTCTGCGTCCCGGGGGCCTTGACGGGCTGATTCACTCAGAACAGGCTGCCTGGCTTCTTTCTAGCAACCAAAGACAGATGGGTAGGGTTTAGGGTTGGTGGGCAGGGCTACTGGTTACTTTTCAGGACATAGCATGGGTGAATAGGGCTACCTTTCTATTTCTCTGGGTCCATGATGGACCCAGTGGTTCAGGGTGGGTTGTTTGTTTTCCCAAGCCAAGGGTGGGTAGAGGGGGGTACCTGTTTCCCAGGAGCCACAGCAGGCCAAGCTTTTCAGGGTGGTTTCCCAGGTGATTCTTGGGACTGTGGGAAGGTAGGTAGGGCCACCTGGCTAGTTCATAGGGCTACGTTGACCAAGTTGCTGAGGGCAGCTACATCTGCTACTGTAGGTAGATCTCAATATGGTGCTTGGATGGGAGAGGGCATAACATGGGCTAAGCTCTTTCTCTGGGGTAAAGCAGTATTATAGATTTCCCATCAGCACACCAAACGAGGCCTAAGGCCTGAGGACTGCAGAATTCTCTAGCAGAAAACACTTAAGATTTCTGTGGGATTAATGTCAACTTCTGGGGGCCTCCTGCTTACCATTTCCCTAACAAGCAGAGTCCCTCTTCAGTGTTTCAGGCTGATCTCTAAAGAGATGGTATGTTGGATGCTGTGTGCTTAATTCCATTCTTCATAAGGCCATCATTTGTTTCTATGCTTTGGGATGTCCCTGCTGCATCCTTACTGCACTGTGGTGCTCTTCCTCAAACACTCTAGTGGAGCAGCTGTTTCTTTCCTTCCCGCTCCTCTTCCTTTCTCTTCCCCTCCCTTCATCCTTTCTTTTCCTTTCCTTCTCTCTCTCTCTCTGCATGTGTATTGACAGCTGTGTCAGACATTGCTAGTCAGACATCTTGCTGATATCACTTTTAACTGTTTCAGATAATAATGTTTGAGCCTTGATCTCATTGTGGTAGAAGCTGTGGATATCCATGGTTTCCTAATGCAGGAATCATTCAATTTTCTTTTTGCTTAAACTAGTCCAACCTCCACAAATTGCAATCAAAGAGTTTTTGTCATCAATTATTCTTCAGGTCCCAGGTTTCTTCTGTCTGTATGACTGAATGAAATTTTGATTGAGAATTTCATACTTTTCATGTAATTCTGATAATCACTTATATAGAATTTCATTTCAAATATGGTTTAATGTTTATTTATAAAACAAAAAAAAAAAAACCCATGAGCTCTATCAAAGTATTTCATTAATGAGTGTTGAAGTTAATCCCCTTAGTTATATTATCTGTCTACCTATTAATCTAACTTTACTTTTTGGTGTGCAAATTGAGCGTAATGGGGAAAACATAAAGTCAGAAAGATTTTGGAAATAGACATAGTTCCAAAGTATTTTATGTTGATTAAAGGAAACAACCAAAAAGATTAGATGTTCTGGGTGCTCAAGCTTGGGTTTTGGAGAAAAATCTTTTTTTTTTGGAAAATATGATATATAAATTTCTATATATATATATATATATATATATATATATATATATATATATGAATTTAAATATTTTAAAACCCCATGAATATAATTTTCTTAAGTACCCATTAAATACATGCACACACACAGACACATACTTTTTAGTAATGATTGAAGTTGTCCTATTAGAAAGAAATAGATATTCATTTTAGGAAATAGAGAAAAATGTTCTTTCACATATTTATTTAGCATCCATTATATTGGAGACATACTCAAAATATAGCAATGAATAACACAGATGCATTGTGTGCTCTTGTGGAGATCAAGTTTTAGTAGCATAAAAAGAAAACAAAAGTAGCCATAATCCTGCCACTCTGAAAAAATGCATTTAACTTTTCTGTGCATTTCTCTCCAGCTTATGTTTGAGTATGGTATGTGTAGATGCAACACAGATATCACACTCTGCATATAGATTTTGGGTTTTATTTTTTCCTTTAGTTTTTTTTTTTTTTTTTTTATCTTGAATCTTAAGCAGTTAACATTCTTTAGAAGCATTGCTGTTTTTAATGGCCATAGTAAGTCATATATATTTACTTTTGAAATGTCATTACAGCAGTGAGTAGTTTGTCTGTAAACAGTCTACACCTTAATTATCTCATAAGATACATTCTTAGGAAAGAAATGAATGGCTAAGAAGATAGGAGCATATTAAAGGTACTTTTAAATAAATATGAATTTTTTCCCATAAGGAGTGAATTATATTAGATTTCTGCAAAAGAAAACTTAAATGTTTATCTCACTTCACCTTTGGCATCACTAAATATTGATGCACATTTTTTTTTTTTTGCTAGGATATATTTTTTTTTTTTCTGATCTTTGTTTTTGTTACCTTCCAGTTGTCTGTTCTATAGTCATAGCCTTGGGTTTAGAGCAATGTCAAACTCAAAAGACACAATGAGTTTCATCCAGCTTTAAGTAAGTTTTGCATTAGGAAAAATACAGGTGGAGAAGAAAACAACATCATAAAAAAGATTTTGTGATGTTCAGGCACAGATTATAATTTCCTACTTAATATATTCCAAGTGATGAGAAAGGGAGCTGGGGGATAAGCCATTTAAAGAGTCTCATTGAGTTGTTTTATGTAGCAAATGAGTTAATATATGAAGAACAATTAATTTCTGGCACCTGACAACTGTATTAGATACTATTTTATATTCTTGCTGCATCAGAGAATGTTACAAATTTCGTTTCAGCTGTTATAGTTTAGAAGACTCGAGAGGAGGATGAAAGTCAGTTGTCTTTATATATTTGCTGACTGTCTTCTGTCTTCTCTCCTGATGTTACATGATTCTTATGTATATCTTTTGATATCATTCTGAGACATTCCTTTAGCCATTTAAAAAAGGATGGGTCTTCTGGCAACAAATTCTCTTGGCTTTCTTTCATCTGAAAATGTATTGATTTTTGCTTCATTCCTAAAGGATATTTTCAGTGAATATAGGATTCTTGTTTCAGAACTATTTTATTTCAACATCTAAAAAATATTGTGCTGCTTCCTTCCGGTCCTCGTGGTTTCTAATGAGGAATTAACTGCCTTGGAATTTTTTTTTTCACTAAAATTGTCATTTCTCTGTTTTTCTACTTCTTTGCTGAATACTCAGTTTTTTCATTTAAGTGCATTAGTAATTACATGTTGGAGCATTTTACATTGTTGGAGTTAAACTTTTTTTTTTTGTTCGTTAAATAATCCCCTAACATGTTTGTCATCTTGATGTTGGCATGTACTGAGTTTCCTTTTTCTTTCTTTTTTTTTTCAAGAAATAATGAGTTATTTCTACATTTTGACATATTGTGACTTCAGGA